GCCATGGCGCTGCCGGGGGGCGGGGCAAGTTTTGAGCTTGGAGAGGTATTGCGGTGGAGAGGGAGACAAGGCAAAGGACACACACTGTGGTCTTGGTGTGATGCAGTTCTCACATTACTCAGCATTAACTAAGGGCTGCCATACAAAACAGATGAGCAGCTGCACCTTTGTTTTTGTAGGGGTTTTGTGTACAATTAGAGCCCAAACCAGCTGGGCTGCTGTGGCCATGGGACAGCCTTCTGCTCTCTCTTTAAATATGCCCATGTCAGGTAGACACAAACTCTGCCTTTAGCTGGTCTGTGTATAAGGGACATTCAGCCTGTTTGGGAAGTGCTTTGCTGTTGGCCAGGCATCGGGGTCAGCTTCACACTGCTTCTGCTGAGGCTCAAACCTGCAGCTTTCTGCCCTGCACTTCCAAACCCCTCTACCAGCCTCTGGGTCAAAGCAAAGACAAGCCCCTTCAGAACTGCTGTATGACAACTACTGCTCCTTATGCTTTCTCTTAAGAGTTTGTACTGAATAGTCGAGAACTGTCAGTGTTAGGTTAGTGGTTGGACTAGGTGATCTTCAAGGCCTTTTCCAACCTAGACGATTCTGAGAATTTCTTAATTTGCACATACTGTTTTACTTATTACTAGTGCTGGGAGGTGCAGGCAGTCCCCGGACTGTACAAAAGCCTGATTGTCCAATCACTTTTGGAACAAATTTGAACCAGCAGAGTTGATTTCAGCTCACAGTACTTGGCAGCATCTGGGTAAGGTGTGTTTGTCCCAGTACTAAGGCCTACTAAAGCTGTTTGTCTGTCTGTCAAATCACAGCCTCCCAATGTGCTATTCAAAGTAGGGAGCTGTTTGAGTGTGTATGGGAGGTGACCAGCTTTGACTGTGTAAGCAGTAGCTTTGGTATATCCCTGCTGTTCCAGCAGCAGGAGCTGGGAAAAGACCTGAGAAGTCAGCAGAGAAGAAATGACAGAGCAGCCTTAGATTCAGCTCCTTGTCCTGGTTTTGACTTGTAGCATGAGCTCCCTCACACTGCTTTTCCCTTCAGCTCTTCGTCAGCCTTGGCTCTGTGCAGGATGACACCTTAAAGGGCAGGCTCTGCCTCTTATCTCAATTTGCTGGCATAGCAGACCTTAAGACATACCTTATCATGTTGCATTAGCAAGGTATTAACAGGATCTGAAATGTTATGCTGACCTACAACAGAAACCCGAAGGAGCCACATCTATGTGAATGATTTCCAGTCTGGTGCTGCTATGGTCTGTCTTTTTGCAGTCTTCAAAAAGCGTACAGCTAAGGTCAGAGCAGAAGGAAAAGCTGCCTCACCCTAGAGGGTGCAATATCCAAGTTTCCCAGGACTGAATCTCACTTTCAGCAGTGTTCTTCAGCACTTTGGAAGAGCCTGTATTCACCAACCACAAGACTGGGAAGGAGATTATCCTACACCAGGATGTAGGTGCAATTTAACCCTCTTGTTTCCTGCTGATCCCTGCTGGTCATGAGCTACAGCAGAGGCTGCTACATCTATTCTGGGTCATCCAGTAGGCAGTGATGGAATCTGAGTATTCTCTCTCTCCCAGTTGGCCAGGCAGAGCTCTATAACTTAGCACACTTCAGAAAAGTCTGGGAAACATGCTGCAATTAATTGGCCACATCCACATTGCCAAAAGGATGAACATGAAAAGATGCTGTTATGCCAGCCCTGAGAAAACAAGACTCTGTTGCCTAGGTTGCACAAGGCAGTGTGTCCTACAGAAAATCACTGTTGTGCTTGTGAAGTGGGCTAATTAGTTCTGTCCCCCATTCAGATCAAGTTCAGCCCCTGTGGGAGCACATATACCATTTGTGGTACCTAATTATCTTGGTCAGTATACAGCTTGGAGGAGTCCTGCCCTGGGCAACTACTGCACCAGTGCAATACCCTGTTGTGACCATCAAGACTCTGATGGGATTTCAGCACCATTCCCTGCTGCTTCACACTCCTGAGCTTGCAAGAGCTCCATTTGTTAAGCACCAGTGAGACCCTGCACTGCAGGAATGACAAAGCAATAGTTGTGCAGACAAATCCATTTTATGAGAAACAATTATGGAGCTGAGCAGATCTGTGTGAGAGGAACTGAGTAAAACATTACTAGGACAGATCTGGTATAACTGTCGTCCCTAAAATTGGCCAGCCACTGGGAAGGGGAGTGGGAGGCTATATGAGAATCCTCATTTACTAGAGAGCTCTCTATCTATCTCTGGAGATTTATGAAACCTTGTAGTTTGTTCTCTGTTAATGTCTTACACTCCCGAAAAGCCCTTTTCAGTTAGAATAAATGATGGCCTCCCCCGCCATGGCAAGAACAGATTGTTATAGTTCTCCAAAAGGACCTGACTGAATGGTAGCATGAAAGATAAAACAGCATGGCATCTCTTTTGAAGCAAAAGTAAAACTAGTTATGTTCTGTGTCTATGGTCTTTCATTTAGCGGAAGAAAGAGAGATGAATAATAGATGGTCCCTTGGAAATACCGTTCCACCAGCTCTTAGTTGGAATCAGGCGATGCTAATACACTAAGAGCATTCAAGATTAATATATTTAATCTCCATAAGGATAGAGTAATTTTAGCCTAGTGAGAAGCAATGGCAACTTTCCCCTTTCCACCACAAAGACCTTGAATCTTTATGCAAAAGGTCTTAGCCATGTCCCAAGGCAATAGATAAAGAGCCTTTAGCTTCCCTGTCATTCTCTGGAAGTGTCAGATATCCAGGACATGATACAAAGCATTGCAATTAGGAAACAATATACCACCGAAATATTTCAGGATGCAAGGGACCTTTTAAAAAAAAAGTGCCTTGGAAATACAAAGTAGATGATGGTCGTTCAGAGACAATCACAAATATCAGTGACAGCAATAGGAAGATAAACTTTATTTACTACAGATGGTTCTGGTTTGGGGTTGCCACATCCCTAAGGAAGAGTGAATGGACAGGATCATACTATATAAGGCCACCACACACAATATCCTGAATCCATGTTTCTCAGTTATCTTCCAGATATAAAGATTTAACACCTGTAAAAGTCCACACCTGCCCTAGAGATCATCTCAACAAAGTAAATGAAAACAGGTGCTTGAATATTCTAGGGTGTTTGGTAAAAGCTTAGCAGTCAGGCCTAAAACTACAGCTTCATTAAACAGGCACTAACTTACATATGCACTCTACTACAGAATTAGCTATGAAAAAATATGTATATTTCCTCCTTCCTGATTTTGACTTTTATGACTGATCCACCCACTGCCATACGCACCACCACCAGTTCACGTGAAATGTTAAAAATAGCCTACATGTGTTTCCTTTCTGCCCAGTCTGAATGCAAACCAGATGTGTCATGCGGTAGAGCATCACTTTGGCTGCTGATAGCTTACAAATTAAGTGGTTCTTTATTGTTTGGTGTCTAAGAGGTGTGCAGCATTTTGCTTCAGCCTTGTGGACCACAGCACTCCACAAAATATGTCTGGTAACAGAAGCTACTGAGAAGTCTCAGAGCCGCTGTTTCCCTGCCTTACAGTCAACTATTCCTCTTGCATTTACCTAAAAGTACTTAGGGTGCAGGTTGTGACCTGAGAAGGTGCAAAGGCCAGGGAAACATGCAAAAAGTGTACAGAACTAGCACATCCTGACCCAGATAACCTAACTATGTTGGCATGGTCAGACTTTGAAGCAGGATTAGGACCTCATCACAGACTGTGGTTGCAAGCAACAATCAACCAAGTGTACAGCCCTGTACTGGTACCCTAGCACCAGTCTTCACCTAAGGGGCAACATGTCATTTATTGTTCAAGCATCTCCAGGTTATCATGTGAATCCACCATTTGCCCCTAGCAATGTCTGGTCTGGAAGAAGTGTCACTAATGAGATGCTCTGCAACACAATGGGGCTGGGGATATGGGAACACGATGCAAAGCTCTGTGCAGCACTTCTTAGGGGTACATCACAGATCAGCAGCACTCCCTCCCTCTTGGGGCACTCCTCTGAACCCTGTGTTTCACTTCAACTCTGTGCAAGTCTCCATTATGGCTGTGAGTGGCCCCATGTCAGCCACAGTGCTTATAAATGGGAGGCTACACTGATCATTGATGAATACCCAAAAATTGAACTCTAAGGCTGGGCTCTTGGAGTCAAGACAGGTGGAAAAGACACTTGTCTGTACATTTGCACATCCATCCTCCAAGCAGCAAGAACCACAGTTTCACCTGGGCAGTATGCTGGCTTCATAGAGCTGGTAAGGCCAGTTTTCTCTCTGCCCAGTGGACCACTGGAGAAGAGCATCACAAAGCAAGGACAAAGCAGAACTTGATCTCTCAGCTCTAAAGCCATGCCAAAATCCCTTACCTCTCTATCATCACTGATGCTAGGCCACTGGACCACAGGACCTGGACTGCCAGTCTGCAGAAGGCTGCTGCCTTTTGGATATTGTGCATTGTCCCAAAAAATAGCTAGGATCCCTCCCTGTCACAGTGCACCAGGACCATGCAGTAGGCATCATGTGCTCTTCTCTGCTTCCAGTAATTTCCCTGCAGTTTCAAACTACACACTTTCCAGAAAGGTTGGTTCATTTTAAAGTGGGATTTAAAGTGTTGTCATAGTGTCCTGCCCTCACTGTGAAGTAGCAGAATAATTTGGCCATGGCTGAAAACATGTTTGAGACTTCTGTAAACGGCATCATAGCAGAACTGAACTCAGATGTAAAGGGGATACAGCTCCCTGGAGTGTTCCAGCAACTGGTCACATGCTGAGTTTGGTACAGGAGATATCATCACATGCAAACCTTCATTTGATCTCCCTCCTCAGATAGAAGTCTGGCAGTGACCCAATCCCATGCATTTGTGCTCTGTACCAAGCCATCTATCCATAACAAACCCTGTATTAACACTGGCATTTTCCACTCTGAAGCAACAGCAGTAACCTATTCAGGAGCTGATTTCATACAGGACACTTGGAATAAAGCACATCTAATGTAATCAATCTTGCATTTCTAGCTGAGGAAGTGCTTAGGTTGCTTTTTGCTAGCAGCACCAGCTATACAGAACCAGTATGTATAGTATCCCTGCTGCAGAGAAAAGCAAACTGGCAGAAGAAGAAAGGATTGTTCCTGGCATCCTTTCCCCACCTACAGAGCAGAAGGCAGAGCTGTTTGAAGCCAAGCAATTATCCTCAATTTATTACATTATTACATTTATTTATTACATTACACAATGACAATAGTGAAGGGCAAAACTAAAAAACCTTTCTGGACAGGGCTGACCAGAAAGAAGGGAGGTTTCTGCCACAGAGATTGCACTCAGACTTACAAATCCCCTATGGGTGTTTAGAGAGTGCTTATGTCCCTTCTTCTCCTACCTAAAGGGTCTGCCTTTTTGCCCCGTGAGCTGGAGCCATCCCTGCACTGCATACCTGTTGGATGCCTGCACTCTCCCCCAGCAGCACTGTGGGGACTGGGGACTGCCCTCCCTCCTGGCCACAGGGCTGGCACCCTGCCACTGCCACAGTGACAGGGCAACAGACCCTTTACAGCTTCTCTTCATCCCCACTGCTGTGCTCCTCTGTCTGGCGGAGTGTGAGCTCCTTCCTGCCCCAGCCCAAGCAGCAGAGCCATGCAGTGCCTGCTGCCCAGGGAGAAATCTCCTGGCCACAGACACAAGAGGTGATGGTGCAAAGGTCGTTCCTGCAACCTTGCTTTGTGCAAGTCAAGGCTGCTAAATTTAATGGGGCTCCATGAATGGCTGAGGAACTGAAGTCTGGAACCATGCTATACGCCGGACAGTGAAAAAACAGCCATGAGAGTAGGCAGTATTCAAAATGACCAGCTGATTTTGTGTATCTATGCACAGAAAAAAAAAAAAAATTAGTAAAGATTTGGCAATAAGCAATAAACTTCTATTAAAAGAAAACAAACAAAAATGAAGAAAAAAACCTGAAACCAGAAGCAAATACAAACAAAAAACCAGGCCCTGCAACTGGTTGAGGTTCAACCAAAGGATGAACAACAAGTCTTCAATAGTCAGAGCTCTCAGCTTGGAGAAACGTGATCCCCAGACTTTGGCTAAATTGTCAAATGTCAATGAAGTAATGACAGAATAACAGCCTAACTTGAAATGTCAGGATCTGATTTGTTTACATTTATATCATCCATTTTTAGTAATAAATGTGAGAAAGGAATGTCTTTTAACAGTAAAGACATTTTGTCTTCCTATATATTATAACAACAATATATAAAACAATATTTATGATCACAATCTATAACAATATTTCTTATCACAAACTAAATAAACAAATCTCTAGAACTGAATGATTCTGGAATGATTTTTGCTTTGTTGTATCTTTATGCATCCCTACTTACTACCCTTATTTGTGACTTTTCTCTCCTTTCTTCCTGGATTTTCATTAGTATGTGCTACCCTTTAAAGAGAGAACAGCTGCCTCTGAGGCTGTGGGAGTTCATTTTCAGAGCTGCCACAGGTTTCCTCTGTGACCCCAGGTAAATCACAGAGGCCTCTGTAAGAAGAGCCGTTGGCACTCTGAGACTGAGAATTCACCCAAGCAAGGCAAAACATTTGTAAACTGTCACCTATGATGTTATTATTGACTCACGCTCTGTAAAACGGGGGTGGTGAGTGTATTTCCTTAGGTCTCTTCCAGGCTTATAATGGATATGAGTGCAGGTTGCTGTCAAAATGTGTGTTGGAGGGTGTTAGTGAAGATTGCTCTGTTATGCCATGCAAACTGGGGCCTAGCTGGCCCTGCAGCAATATTGCTGATGCCAGCCAGCAATGTTGGAAACCTCCCAGCACCAGCCCTATGGCAATGCAGGCTAACAGTGCAAATGAAATCATCTGCAGTGAGTGACATTCTTCTCTACTTGCAGGTCTGGATATTCCCACACCCTTCTCCCTGATGATTTCAAGAGAGAAAGTGAAGTGTCCCCCATGGCACAATTTTGTGTGGTCCAGTTCGAGAATACCTCCTACTATTTTGAAACCTGAACAACCTCCCTAGGATCTTAGTACTGTTCAGCACACAGCCCGAAGGGCTGGCATGCACCACAGCCACATTTCAATCACAGTCACCATTTCCCCTTCAGACTGAAGCCCATTAGCTGCTAAACTGGCTACTTCCTGGCTCTCAGCTGACGGAAGCACTTTGTTGGGAGTATAATCAATCTTACTACAAAACTCTGGCTGGTACTCTTGCAGGTGATTAAACAGTCACATGGGAGAAAAATGACACAATTCAAGGGTTGCTCTTAACCGAGCTAGGACATGAAAAATGAAAAGTGTCACTATATTACTTAGACTCTCTTACATCATCAACCCCAAAAAAGAGACATGAAATGCAGCCCCTCTGTGATGGACTTATGCATAATTCAAAAGATGAGCTGCCTTCAGTAGCAGATCTCTGGGTCCAAGTCTGCTGAGAATGCCAAGCAGCATGAGCCTGAAGGGTTCTCAAGCAATGAAAAGGGCAGATCACTAACAGTGTGAGAAAATGAAGAACAGGAAAGACTGAGGTTGAGATCACACATGGGAAGTTACAAACTGACAGCTTTAAAAGCTCTCTTAGCAAGTGAACATCCCCAGAAGCTCTCATAGTTTTACAGATATCTCTAGATTTGTGGTCCTTCTGCTACATAGTCTTCTTATGCTTTATGAATATTCACCATATTGGCTCCCCACAAGAATGGAACATAATGCTCTTTAAATTAGTAGCATTTAAAGCAGAATTAGTGTTACATTTTAAATGGTCATTCCAAGATTTCAGATGATCATTCCACTATTTCTTTACTTTTACATGAAAGCAGAGAGAGGGCAGTTACCTTCCTAAGTAAAAATTCCAGCAGTTAAACAGGCTTATTCTTGCTAAAACTGTGATTAATTTCTAGCTTGAATAATCTATTTTCAGCTCATTTGAGAGCGAGCAGTGTTTCCTTGACAGATCTGAACATCCCAAGTTTTCATTTACACAAAAGTCATGGACAAGTTATTTGTCTGATCTTTCTCTACTGATTGACATTTTAAAGTCTTCCTCTTCAGGGGCAGTATTTACATGACTTGTCAGTGTTTGTCCTGGTTTTGGCTGGGACAGATTAAATTTTTTTCCTAGTAGCCGGTACGGTGCTTTATTTTGGATTTAGTATGAGAATAATGTTGATAACACACTGATGTTTTAGTTGTTGCCAAGTAGTGTTTATCCTAACTCTGCCTATCCCATGGTCTGCCAGTGAGGAGATAAACAAGAAGCTGTGAGGGACCGTGTCCAGGATAGTTGATCTGACTAGTCAAAGGGATATCCCACACCGTAGGACACCATGTTCAGTATATAAACTGGGGAGAGTTGGCTGTGGGGTGGATCACTGCTCAGGCATTGGTCACTACAGGTAGTGAGTAGCTGCATTGTGCATCACTTGTTTTTCTTGGGTTTTACTTCTCTTTCTTTTTGTTTTCTTCCTTTTCATTACAATTAGCATCATTACTATATTTTACATTATTTCAATTGTTAAACTATTCTTATCTTAACCCTTGAGGTTGTTTTTTTTTTTTATTCTCCTCTCCATCCCACTGTGGGAGGGAAGAGTGAGCAATCAGCTCCGTGGTACTTAGTTGCCAGCTAGGGTTAAACAACAATGATGTTTCTGCTGTTATCATTTTGGATTAATTATCAGTAGTATTTTGTCATTGTGCCATCACCATTTGTAAAACAGAGTAATGTATGAAAATTAATGTATGAATGAAATGTAAGTTAACATCAGACAGTAGCGCTGGTATACCAATTTGTTAAAATCAATGGGTATTAGTATTCTGAAAGAATCAGTAACAGCCCTGAGAAGACATTACAGATAATCTGCAAAAACAAAAGCAGACCATAACCACATATTACTCTGCAACTTGGGGAACCTGCTAGATATCTGTTAGGGGCAAGTCAATTTAGATACCAAATTCTTCTTTGAATGCTAGCATACTGACATGCCATGTTCACTGAATCTCAGTCCTGTTCAGGAAGCATCACAGTATTTTTCTGTCTTTGTTTTCAGCACCCTCCCCTGCCAGCTTCTGCCCAGCTAAGTGGCTTGGGGGAACTGATATTTCCCCTGGTTCACAGCTAGTAAGTCGGCTTCCTGGCCTTGTAGCAGTTACCTGAATACACTTACAGAGCATGTCTTTTTAATCCTTCCTCCAAATTTGGAGAATGAAAAACGGCATACTAAACAATCGATTAGTAACAATTAATAAATTTACGGGTTGCTTGAAAAGCTACTTCTCTGAGAGATCTCCATTAATATCTACAGCATGGTTAGAGGTAGCAAGCAACAGAGAGGTGTTCTTGAATCTTCACAGTGTACTTGTTTGTTTTACTGGCTAGATACCACTTTATAAAGCAAAAGGAGAATTTTGAGGTATTTTTCTAACTGACTTTGAAGAAAAGACTCTGTGTGCTAATGAATTTGTTGGCTTTTAGGTCCTGAAACATGGTTCTTTTTTGCTTACAAACAGAATACATACACAGCTGTATATTTCATAAATTACATAGCTGAAGGAGTTTGCAAAAATTGTTACTGATAACCTTCAAAATCTATTAATGCTATTACTAAATCAATGTCTCCAAAAAGTAGGGTGGGATGACTAACCTTCATGAGGCAATGGCTGGAGTGCACTGAGGGCTTTTGAACAAAGAGATGGAAGGGAATTCAGTGACAGACACTTTGCATGCAGCATTTGCTGCATGGGCAGAGCAGATTGGCTCCAGCCCTCAGGGAGGCTGAGGAAAGAAAGGTGCGAAGGGCACTTCCTTGGATCTCAGCATCAGTGAGGAGCCTGTACTCAGCATGGCCAGATAGCAAAAGGATCTTCCTTGCAGAGGTTCCCTTAGAAATGCAGCACGGTCAAAGAATGGATGATCGCATACATACTCTAGTGCCTCTGCACGGGGAAATACTTCTTTCTAGTATCCTGCAAGTCCCAGGTAGGCTGCAGGTATCTGTGGCATGGGGGAAGAGATTCTTCCTGCTTTCTTCCAGTCAAGAAAGAATCAGATCTCCCCTACTCTCCTTGCTTGGCATATAACCATGTCTTCACAGTTTCTTGGCACTTTCCTGGCTACTTAATTATGTTCCTCAGTTGCAAATACAAGCTGAAGCCTCTCTAAGTCCCTGTATCAACTCAGCAGGAAGCCTTTTTTTCATCTCTCTTATCCTGTGCTCTTTAATTCCTAAAACCCTGACAATACACTAATTAGTTTGCTCCCTGACCAGCTCCAACCAGATACAGAAATGATTGTTCTTCCATTCCTCTCCAGTTGTCTCTCTCACCTTGATGCACTTCATTTCCCTTGCAAAGTTAGTATTACCTTCATACTGCTGAGCACACCCACAGCCCATGAAAAGCTATCTTGAAAATCCCAGCTATCTTGAAATTATTAGCCACTGTGACTTTCTTAATATGATCATGCTCCTTAATTCCCATGTACTGTGATGGCAAAAGATGCTTAGGCCTCATGCAACCCTAAGAGGCTGAATCCATGCAGCAGACCCACTCACTGTAGGACAAAACCGCAAAAGAATCCATCACATAAGCGAGGTGTCTATAAGCCGGGTAGACAGGAAAAACCACCAAAATACTTCCCTCCCACAGGTCCATGCTCTGGTGCTGTTTCTGCTTTTAGAAGAAAGAACCAAATGTTGGAGAAGCTGAGACAACAAACTGAATAAAGGGCAAACTGATGAAAGAGTCCTTGGGTCAACAGTGAGAGAAGCATCAGCAGGGCACAGAGGGAGAAATCATTGAAAGCATGAGGAGAAGTCAAGCAAATAGGGGAGCCTGCACAGTAAAACCATTGAGCCAACCTCCTGGTTCACCCAAGAAGCCCTGCTGAGGCCATCCTTCAGAGCAGGACAGAATCAGCCAGGAAATAAGAGAGCTGAAACTCCTCCTGAAATGCACACAGCATTGCTGAGACTGGGTTATATTTGTCTTTTCTTCTCTTGATTAGCTCTGAGGACTGTTGTTCTGCCCCAGCAAGAAGCAGCATGTGACCTTGAGGGTCAAGAAGCAGGACAGTAAGGGCCCTTGCATATGTGAGACATAGGTCTTCTACCCTGACTGGACATTATTGCTAATTTACCACTTAAAATATTAAACAGATACTGGTGCTACTGCACGCAACTTGAGTACTTTGGAACAGTGACCAGGACATTGAACAAATTTTATTGTCCATTGGGATTCTTGACTAGCCCATGTGTAAGTATCATATCAAAATTATAGTTTTATTTATCTGAAAACTAGGAAATCATGAGGGGGGGATGACATAATTCAAGGACTGAAAATTATTTTCTCTATGGGGAGAATTATGGAGCTCAGCCTGCCTATCCAGTCAAAAAGACTTATCCAGAGCTGAGATAATTACAGTGTATATGTATTTTTGTGAGGGGAAAATACGTGGCGCAGAAGAACTTTTTAATCTAGGAGAGAAAGGTGTAAATGAAAGAATGGCCAGAATACGAACATAATTTCAAAGTCAAAGTAGGCAGTTCCACTCAAAAGAGAAGCTAGAATAAGGAAAAAGGTAGACATTGTCTCACTCTCAGTCTTTACACTACAAGATGTGAAGGGGGTGGGGGTATGGAAACATTAGTCCTGAAGATAGTCTATGTCATGTAGGTCATGGAGAATCCCAGTGCTCTGATAGGTCTCGCAGGGCTACAGACCTAAGAACCTTTATGCCAGTGAAAATTAGGACCATTTAATTTAAGTTGAAAAAAATTAATTATCCAGGTTAATTTAGTATAGTGAAAGGCATAAGTTTCTCTTCTCAAGATCTGGTTCCAGAAGCTTTACGCTGGCTTCCAGTTATCACCTTAGAAGATTCAAGTCATGTTCTATGAGCTTGAAGTTTTTTCTTCTTTTGCATAGGAGAAAGGCTTTTGAACGAGCTTGATACTCTTTTTTTCTCCTTTGATCTTGTCTAATCTCATGAATTAATTGACTGTTAAAATTTGTAAAATTCAAATCTCTTTCAGGAATTCCATAGAAATACTGAACTATGTCATGAATCATGCTTAAGATCATAGCTTCATATACTCCCCCCAGTGCCATGTGACTACCAAGTCAGTATTGATTTCCTTTCATCTCAAAAACTGAAGCAATATTCATTGCCAAAATAAAAAGCTGTCTGAGTTATGAGAATGCACTGCCAGCAAGTTCCAAGATGAAGCATAGATATGAAAAAGTGGGGGAGGGGGTAGTGAAAGCATATGTGAAAAAAAAGCTGAATATGCTCTGTGAGAAAATATATACAAAAATAAGATTTTCATAATAAGACAATACAGGAGCAAGCCACAGTATCACCAGTCTTGTCCAGAGCTAGATGGACTTGGCCTCTGGTTTAGTTCAGAGCAGGCCTGAGTGGGGCCAGCCATGTCCCACTGAATTTGTTCCCTGCCCATTTTAACCCAGCTAAAACCTTTCCTCTTGCCTCCGTGACTATGACTTCACGTGATGGGGGAGGGGAATGAGAGGCAGGATGAGACAGGACAGGT